AGCACTAAAACCATAACACTCTTAGGAGAAAATATAGAAGTAAATTTTCAGATATGACATCAAAAGTATATGCAACAAAAGAAAATATACATTTACCAGACTTCATCAAAATTCAAAGGATACTACCAAGAAAATGAAAAGATAACTCAGAATGAAATATTTGAAAATCATATTATCTAATAAGAGTATAGTACACAGAAAATACTCTTAGAATAAACCCAATTTAAAAATAGACAAAGGACTTGAACAGACATTTCTGCAAAAGAGATATACAAATGGCCAAGAAGCACAGGAAAAGGTGCTCAAGTGCGTTAGTCACTACAAAAAAGCAAATCAAAACCACAATGAGAAACCACTTCACACACACTAGAATGGCTACCATTTTAAAAAGTAATAACAAGTGTTGCCAAGGATGGGGAGAAAATGTAATCCTCAAACATCGTTGGTGGAAATGTAAAATTACACAGCGCTGTGAAAAAGTTTGGTGATTCCTCAATAAAAGACAAAATATTTGACACCGCAATTTTACTTGTAGGTAGATACCCACAAGACTGAAAACAGGTGTTCAAACAAAAACTTATATACAGATATTCATAGATCTACTATTCACAATAGTCATTAGGTATAAACAACCCAAACATCCATCAGCTGATGAATAAACAAACTGAGGCACATCCATGTAAGAGATTATTTAGCAATAAAAAGGAATGAGGTCTGATACATGCCACAATACAGATGAACTTTGAAAACATTATACTAAGTGAAAGACAGACACATAAAACACATATTGGCTAGGCACAGTGACTCATTCCTGTAATCCCACCACTTTGGGAGACCAAGGTGGGAGGACTGCTTGTGCCCAGGAGTTCAAAGCTACGGTGAGCTATGATTGAGCCACTACACTCCAGTCTGCCCTATCTCTATTAAAAACAAAAACAAAAACAAAAAAAAACAAGCGGCCGGTCAGAGTGGCTCACGCCTGTAATCCCAGCACTTTTGGAGGCTGAGGCAGGCAGATCACGAGGTCAAGAGATCGAGACCATCCTGGCCAACATGGTGAAACCCCGTCTCTACTAAAAATACAAAAATTAGCCGGGTGTGGTGGCATCTGCCTGTGGTCCCAGCTACTAGGGAGGCTGAGGCGGAAGAATCACTTGAACCCAGGAGGCGGAGGTTTCAGTGAGCCGAGATTGCGCCACTGCACCCCAGCCTGGCAACAGAGCAAGACTCCATCTCGAAAAAAAAACAAACAAAAAAAAACCAAGCAAAGCAGATAGTATATGATTACATTTATATAAAATATCCAGAATAGGCAAGTCCATGGAGACAAAAATATATTACTGGTTGTGAAGGACTGTACTCAGGGGTGAATGGAAAATGACTCTAACAGGCATAGGTTTCCTTTAGAAATGATGAAATGTTCTGGAACTACATAGTGATGACAGTTATGCAACATTGTGACTATGCTAAATGCCATTGAATTGTGCACATTAAATTGTTAATTTTATGTTAAATATATTCTAAAACAAACTTATCATTAGTGATGTTTAGAGACCAAATTCCAATAAATTGTAGGGAATAATTTATTCTGCATGAATCATGAGTTGAAAATTTGATTAAGTGCAAAAACATTTGCCAGAAAACAGTCTCTTAATTGAATATTCTATAGATTGAACAAGACTAAGAATTTTGGAAAGTTATTTTAAACTGAAACAGTCCATTTATTCTCTATAAGTTTTATCCAGAAAAAAAAAAGGCAAGACTATCTGAAAGCCATTTACATGGGCTCTAGTAATGTGGTCCTTGAAAAGCTTCATTAACTCAGTATTGCTTAGTACCTTGCTTTTTGCTTTTACTGAAGAATTACAGGTATTTATTTCATGGTTGCCACCAGAAGGCTGTCCATCACTGTATAAAGAGCAAAAAAAAAAAATTTTTTTTTCAGCTTTCAGTATCACACTTTACATACGTACCAAAAGGAATCAGGTAGCTTCATTCTCGTCAGCAGTGAAAGCCATGTAACAGATCATCTGTCTTTGCCATAGCTATCAGAAAGGTCAGAAGTATTTGCAACTCAAATCTGATAACTGTCTTAACTCCAGGTGACGTGTATATATATATATACACATCTATACACACAGATACAGATATCTATGTATGTGTATATATACATACACACAATACACATATATATGTAACATATATACGCCAACTTTGCCCAACTGATCTGCTATTCCAGTGCTATTGGCCTACAGACCTGAAAACTAGCATCATCACCTGCAATCTTGTTAAAAAGGGAAATTCTCGGCTGGGTGCAGTGGCTCACGTCAGTAATCCCAGCACTTTGGGAGGCCGAGACAGATGGATCATGAGGCTAGAAGATCAGGACCATCCTAGCCAACATGGTGAAACGCTGTCTACTAAAAAAATACAAAACTTAGCTGGGTGTGGTGGTACATGCCTGCAATCCCAGCTACTTGGGAGGTGGAGGCAGGAGAATCACTTGAAGCTGGGAGGCAGAGATTGCAGTGAGCCAAGATCACATGACTGCACTCCAGCCTGGCAACAGGGTGATACTCAGTCTCAAAAATAAAGGGAAGGAAAATACTCAGGCCCTGTTCTAACAAACTTTCAATTGTACATATTTTGACTTTTCCATTTTAAGTATAAGGGTCAACCTGCTAAGATCCACTGTAAAAGTACAGAATTACTTCATCAACTAACATACGATTTCTTCATTTTCTGCTGATCCTGGAAAAATGTAGAAATCTCTGAAGGTTTACCTATGATTTAAAAAAAGAAATGAAGTCACTAGAGATACGAAATGCTTTGCCACTTCGGATTTGCCTACTTACAAAACTGCAACATCACCTGGGTAAAATGTCTCTCTGTGGGAGAACATCCCTTTTAACCTGGAGAAGAGGCAGGAAGAAACCCATTAAGATGCACCCATATGTCCACTGGTGACAGTGAAATGATCACATGGAGCTTGGATGTGTCTTTTTTTTTAACTGAGTGGATGTAACTGTTCTCGACTGATGTTTTAAAACATGTGTACCACTTTGTGTTCTCAAAGAAATAAAACAATTATAACAAAAATGGTTAAATGAATCACAACACAATAAATGAAGTAAAGCTAAGTAAGCCTTCATCAGAAGTTTCATCGAACACGGATCATTTTCCCCCTTGTTTTACTCCTTGAGTTAAAAGCACTCACCCAAAGCTATGAAAAAAAAAGGATTGGAAGCACTTTAAAGTAAGGTCACTTAAACTGTTTTTCTACAGTCTATGCAGTTTCTCAAAAGGCTGCCTTTTAAAGATGTCTATTACAACAGTGATAATGTGATCAGCACCGGCCTTGGTGTCAGGAGACTCAAGTCTACTCTCAGTTCTGCCACTAACACAAAGCCAGGAAAATTCACTTACATTCTTACGGACAATTTTTCCCAACTTTGAACAAGACAAACAGAAAATCTGTCTTGTACTACTGTCCTACAATGTCAGAAGAAAGGAATTTATCAGCATATCTTTACATGTCAGATTCATGGAGTGCAAAGATCTTGGGATCTGGGAAGACTGAATGTAAAAAAGAATGGGGGCTATACTGGGATTGGTGGAGACAGAATTTACTCAGCTCTAGCTCTGAAACCACTTTCCCCACAGCATGTCTCCCAAATCCCCTCTATTTACTGCATGGCCTAACCCCTCCTTCATTCCTCTCAGCCCACTTTCCTACTCTCTTTTGAAATCTGGTGCAGACCTTCCCTGTGGCATGGCTTCTGGATGTGGCTACATCAATCAAATCTTGCTCATTCTGAGAATTGTGTGCAAATCTAGTAAATCTGCTCCTTTCTGGGAGCTATTGCTTCTGCTGGGAAACTCACTCCTATTTCGAGTGGTTCTTTTTCATATGGATCTTGTTCCTCAAGATTTCTTATTTCACAAGAGGTGCTTTGCTCCAAGGAAGATAAGAAATGCACCTAACGGACAAATTCATTTTAACTGGAATCATCACTCAGCGCCACAGTTTAACTCTGAATATTTTCTGTACCACAGACTCTCAGATCAGACCTTCAATAAACACAAACTAAGGCTATTGAGAACTGAGAACATAGACCAGTCTGGACTGCGCAGACCTAACTCGGGAACAATATGCCGTCTGACCCAAGAGCTCCGAAGACATATCTGGAAATCCGAAAAACAGAACTGCTGCATGGTAAGAGTCAATCCTTCAAATTATTTCTCCATACTTTAAATTATTTCTGCTAACTGCTGTGGAGGAAGCAACGCTGGCTTTTATAAGCAGGACAGTAAATCAAAACACGGCATTTGGAGAAAGAAACGTTTGAGTTTGTCCTCTAGTGTATTTAGCTGCTAGCTGTGACTCTGGGCACAACACTTTCCTCTTGGTCTCCTTTCCTTATTTGTTGGAGCGGAAGTTATACTGACCTGAGAACGAGGTTATAAGAATAAACTAGTAAGAAACGTGTTTCCACTAAAAGCAGTTGCTGTGACTGACTGCAGCCACTGCCATCACTTTCCTGAATGCTCCGTACAACCCCCTGAGGCGGTATTAATTCCCTGGTTTCACAGAGGAGTAAATCAAGTCTTACCTGTCAATCTCTCTCAATGGACAATTCTTTGACACCCGCGCTGCCCGGCAACAAGTATCCCCCGACCCCTCCCGCAGCCGCCTGATCCACACTGCCCGCTCTGCCAGGGGTCGGACACTCAGATTCCGTAGTCACCTGCGCCCGCGACCCCCGGTTCCAGCGCCCCGCGATCCCCACGCCCTACCTTGGACCTCGGACACCCGACCACCAACCCCTCCCTCGACCTAGCCGCCCCCACACCGCCGTCCCTCTGGGCTCACGCGCAGGCGCCAGGGTTCCCACCGCCCGGAGGCCGCCGCCTCCCGCCCGCCCTGCCACCCGCTGCCCAAGCCGCGCAGCACTTTCCCATCCCCGCAGATCACCCGTCGCTCCCAATCTGCGCCGTACCTGAGCGGCGGACAGACCTGAGGACTCCGGGTCTGTCTCCAACTTGAAGCCAAAGAATCTTCCCAGAGGGAACGCCTACGCCGATTGCACCTGCACAGAAGGTTGGGGGGGAGGGGTGGAAAAAAAAAACAAAAACAAATAACCAAACCAAACCAAACCAAAACGAAACAAAAAAAACAAAACAAAACAAAACAAAAAAAAAAAAAAAAAACAAAAAAAACCTGTCTCCTGAGCATGCGCGCTGAGCCCTCGAACGTGAGACTCCATTTCCCAGAAGCCTGTTCGCCCACAACCTTAGGGAAAGTTGGATGTTCCCAGCCTGCGTGCCTAAGGTAGCGAAGAGGTAGATCAATGTGAATAATGAGAAAGTTAAAGACTAGAAAGTTGAAATATTAATAATAAAATGAAAAGTGTCTAAAAGTAAATAATAAAAGAAATAATTATTTGGGTGATAGGTACGCTAGAAGCCCAAACTCCACCATTTTGCAATATATTTATGCAACAAACTTGCGCATGTACCCCCGAATAGAAACAGAAATGTTAGGCCGGGCACCCACCACCACGTGGGCGTGGTGCCACACGCCTATAATCCCAGCTACTCCGGAGGCTAAGGCAGGAGAATCGCTCGAACCTGGGAGGCGGAGATTGCAGTGAGCCGAGATTGCACCATTGCACTCCAGCCTGGGCAATAAGAGCGAAACTAAAAAAAAATAAGGCGGGGAGAGGGACCGGCTCAGTGGGAGGCCAGTGCGGGTGGATCACGAGTTCGGGAGTTCAAGACCAGCCTGGCCAACATGTGAACTCTTGTTTATACTAAAAATACAAAAATTTGCCGAATGTGGTGGTGGGTGTCTGTAAAAATCCCAGCTACTCGGGAGACTGAAGCAGAGAATTACTTGAACCCGGAAGGCGGAGGTTGCAGTGAGCCGAGATGGCTCCACTACACTCTAGCCTGGACAACAGAGTGAGACTCCGTGTCAAAATATATACATATATGAGAAAAAAAATGCAAAAAATTAGCTGGGCGTGTTGGCGCGTGCCTGTAGTCTCAGGTCCTCAAGACGCTGAGGCTCCAGAATCGCTGGAACCCGGCAGGAGGGGGCTTCAGCGAGCGGAAATTGTGCCTCTGTACTCCAGCCTGGACGACAGGGTGAGACTCCGTCTCAAATTAAAAAAAAAAAAAAAAAAAAAAAAGAAATATATAAGGCACAGTTCTAATGTTTCTTTTTTATTACTATTTTAATTTTTAAAATGTATTTATTTTTGAGATGGAGTTTTGCTCTGTCGTCCCGGCTGGAGTGCAGTGGCGCGATCTCGGCTCACTGCAGCCTCCGCCTCCCGAGTTCAAATGATTCTCCTGCCTAAGCCTCCTGAGCAGCTGGGATTACAGGTGCATGGCACCATGCCTGGCTAATTTTTGTATTTTTAGTACAGACGGGGTTTCACCTTGTTGGTCAAATTGCTCTTGAACTGCTGACCTCAGGATTCGCCTGCCTCAGCCTCCCAAAATTCTGGGATTACAGGCATGAGTCA